ATTACAGAATATTTCTTCACTGAAAGAAGAGCAAAACACTGCTCTGGAGGCTTTTCTCAGAGGAAAAGATGTTTTTGCTCTTCTCCCGAGTGGTTTCGGCAAGAGTTTGACCTATCAATGGCTCCTCTTCGTCATCGCTCTGTTACGTCATATGCTTCGTTGATCTGATTGGTTTATTTGGCCCGTCTATCACCAACATAGGCCAATCAGCTAACCAGTATTTTCGCCCCTTCCCAAAATTACTTCAACGGAAGGTTTCCAGATGGATATGCAGAGCAAATCCATCTGGCAGAGTCAGGTTAGTGATTTTTGTCCACCCAGCGGTAATTTTCGAGGTAGTTACCAAAACGACAAACAAGCTAGAAAGCGCTATTGTACCTGTGTTTCTGTATCATTTTATTCGCATAATTACTCAAAAATCCCCTACATTCGAAGAAAACGACCCAAAAGCTTCGTCGGTGCCATTTTTGTTGTTTTGTACACATTCTCGCGTCATTTGAAAAAGGCGCGTTATTTGAAAAAGCCACGTGATTTTCCGCCACATGCCGTGAGTTTTGTCCGGGAATAGGCGTGAATCGGACAAATTTTTTTCAAAAGGAACCTGGAAACTTAAAAAATACTGAATTACCTTAACGTCAACCCCTGCTGGAGCTGAACTGGAACGGGTTACCTGATGATGGCGCCGTTGTTCACTCTTGGAATGTGTTTGTGCTTTTTGTTAGTGTCCAAAGTGGAGCCTGGAGGTCTGATAGCTCGCAGGGTGACGGAGGTCGCCCAGTCTACAGTGGATATGGTCACCACAGCTTTGGACTACCCACGATGTGAGTTCCTCCCTGTTAAACATGATGTCATATCCGCACAAGATGCACAAAACAGGAAAATACTTCGGATGACAACAAAACGTACAATTTTATTTTTTAAACTGAAAGAACATATGTGCAAAGCAGGTTATTCCTCCAGAGCCAAGTCAGTGTCAGTAAGAACAAAACAACTGTAAAATGAATCCTGCTGTGTTGAAGGATTCATACACTTTAAACCTTCTGGCTTTTTGTCACATCACAACTGCAAACAGAGTGTTTACTAGGATTTAATGTGACAGAAAGTGGAAGGAAAAGATGAACAATGAAGAGCTCGATCTGAACCAGACTAGATGGAGGGAGTCTGAAACGATCTGTTTTCAATACAATGTTTTCCCATTTAGACCTAAAAAGTTCACATTTGGACTTTTTTTATTTATAAATGAACAAATTCTTTCTTTCTTTTTTCCTTTTTTCCCACATCAGATTAGGATTTGTTTTTTTTATTTAATCGACATTTATAAGCAGTAGAATTTTTTTTTTTCCCTCTATGTCTGCCCAGCTTTTGTTAAGGACGTGGCGCGGCCTGACTACTGGGTCCCGGACCAAAACATCACCCAGTGCCATGAGTGCCAGAAGACCTTCACTCCAGCCATGTCTAAGCACCACTGCAGGGCCTGTGGGCAGGGGGTGTGCGGCCCCTGCTCTGCTCACATCAAACCCGTGCCTTCCAGAGGCTGGGACCACCCGGTCAGGGTGTGCGACAGCTGCTTCGCCCGCACCGACGCCCTGTGAACGTCACAGTCTTCCTCAGAAGGTCCCGGTCAGCACTGTGAATCCCAACACTGCTGGAAACCCAGAGAGATCGACCCAACAGCTCTAAGAGGCTCAACTGGAACTAGCTCTGTTTAATAGACACTAAAGAAGAGGCTCTAAATGATCACTAAGAGGAGCGTTAGCTGTACGGATCTACATGCCTTTATTTCACAAACTGGTTCTGGGTCAGTAATGAGACGTAAAGATCATTTCTATAGCAGGTCTTAGACTGAGTGGATTAAAAAAGCAAGTTGGACGTTTATTTCCTCTTACTGGACACTTTTTAAAAAAGTTCTCATCAAAGAACTTAAATTCTTTACGGCACTTTAGATGATCGCTTTAACCCTTCCTGCAGCGGGCTGCTCATCCTCATCTGGAATTATTAACTAGCCAAAATTAACAAGGGAAATTTTAAATTCCTCAAGCCTTAAAAAGCATCCTGGTCTCTGCAATTTTATTCGCACAAACTCTTAGATAGCAGAGGCTGCGTGTGTTTAAGCTTGGAGGTGTTCGTGTGGTAAAGAGCTTGGTCTGCAGCAGCGTGTGCCTTCATGGGTATCTTACTACTCAGTCAAACATATCGTTTGTGTTTAAATCATGGAATTCACTTCAACTCAAGGCCTTGATCTTCATCAAACTTTTTTTAAGTTGCATCCGTATGAAAGAGATGTGATCAATTAAAATCTCAACATATTCAGACATTCCAGTGGGTTAAACAGCCCTGAGATGCAGAGTAGATATACCTCTAAGAAAGCTAATGCAGCTACGCTAAACCAGGCAAACTATCTCATCCAGTCACATATAAACATAATAGTTGGGTTTATAACTGAAGGCTTTTCTGTGTCATTTGTCGTTCTTTAGTTTTTCTGTGTGAAAGGAAATCATTTTTTATTCAATTCTGGCAATTGAATTTTTAAATAGCAACTGACCAAATAAAGATATGAAAATCATTATTCTTCATATGACTCTTTGTTTTTCTATTACACAGATGGACTGTTTTTTTTTCTTTTAATACTTTTACTGTCCTGCAAAATGTAAAAAGGCTGCAAAATTCAACACATTAAGGTGTGAGACGGTTAGTGAGCCTTTAATGATGGTGAGGAATTTTAACCTGGCAGCCAATAACACTATCAAGTTACCTCAGTTCAATTTGGTTTATTGTTTTAGCTCTTATTCAGTGCGGATGTTTAGAGACGGTTTGGTTCCTATGCAGAAAATGATTCAATTTAGATTAGATTAGATGAGCTTTATTGATCTCACAGCGGAGAAATTCACTCGTCACATATGGGCATAGAAGGTGCAAACTATATATATATATATATATATATATATATATATATATATATACAGTATTTCAAAATAAATAAGGATTAAGGTGCAAGTGCGCATGTATTGTACACAATGAAAAACTAAATGAAAATAAGAAATTTAATCCAATGAAGCTTGTTAACTGAATAATTACTAATTGAAACCTAAAAAAAAAAAACACTCAACTTCCAGTTGTTCTCCTTTTATGGAAACCGAGCAGACTTCATCAAGTAGCAAGCTTCAAGCAGCTTCATCTCAGAGAAACATGGCTGAACAGATGAGCTCAAAGCCAGGAGTGAAATACATGGAAGTAAAATCTTAAGTATATTCAGCATGAGCTCCTTTGTTTACATCATAGTGGTAAGATTAAACGAGAG